CTGCAAATATTAGTCATCGATTTCTTGAATGTAAATATTTAGAGGGTTTTCCTATCAGTTATAAAATAATATAAACACATACAATGATTTTCATATGTTTTTTGAATGTAATTATACAGAAAATCAGATTGTCTAGATTGGATTACTTGGTGTGCTAATAGATACTTAGAGCTCGCAGTGATGACCAGGTCGCAGCGGCCAGCCAACGACCATGCCATTAAATCAAATGATAAAAAAAATCAAGCGGTCGCAGCTTGGTCACTGTGACCAAGCTGCGATAATAGGCGATAATTGTTTTGAGTAGTGTATTTTTTGTAGTGAAACTTTTTTACGCGCGATGGGAGTAAAAATTCAAGACTGCGACACACGGGAGGCGTCAGGAAAAGTGATAACGATCAGAGGTTAAGACGGAGCGTCGTAACTCCGGCCATATGTGCGTGATCTAGGGGGCTGAAACTGGGAATGCAGATGGGGCTCGATGAGCCCAATTTTTTTATGATATTTTGATGACGTTTCGTGCACCATGAAACTCCATCATCAATGGCGAAAAAATTGTCCGATTTAAAGTCGATTCTCACTATACCTTGCATTTCCATTCCATATCCATTCTATATCCGTTCCGTATTTTTTAATTGTATGACGCTATACGTAAGCTTCCGTTTCGTATCAGTTCCATACTTTTTATTATACAATTTATATCATTACGAAAGTTTTATTTTAAAAACTTGTATCTTTTGAAAAAGGTAATATATTTAGTTAATAAGTGAAAGAATAAATAAGTATCAGCAAAATTTTAACAGAGCTGGTACATATATTACAAATGTAAGTACTTGACAACGCTGTTTCCGATACGCTTCAATCCGTCCGCCAAAAATTTATGGAAGGAAAGGATATGGAATGGAAGGGAAACGGAACGGATAATGTGCAATTCATTTACATGATAAAATATTTTTGTAAACGGAAGGGAAACGAAAGAGAGCTGATATATGGAAGGTATAATGAGAATGAACCTTTAATGGATCTTTGGAGCGTCGTAACTCAATCCTTATGTGATCTAAGGGGCTGAAACTGGGAATATACATGGGGCTCGAAGAGCTCTATTTTTGTTGTATTTTGACGTTTCGTGCACTATGAAACTCCATTATCAATGATAAAAAAATTGTCCGATTTAATGGGTTTTTGGAGCGTCGTAACTCAAGTCCTATGTGAGCTAGGTGACTGAAACTCGGAATTAGTCGAGGCTCGAAGAGCCAAAACCAACTTGACGGCGTACGCCTAAGAAACGTCAAAAGTTGATGTCGTCCGATTGCGACCAAATTTGGTGGGTAGGCTATTTGAGCGACGGTGCACACGAGTGCACATGGTCCCACCCTGCAAAGTTTGATACGACGTTTCGTTTACATCTTCATCAGGGACTAACGATTTGATATTGAAGAAAAATGTGGGTCGATTTCGGCATAATTGGGGACGGCCTACTGGATGACGCCCCCGACGTTTCGAACGGATGCCTCTAAATGGACTTTTCCTTGAAAAGGATTTTTCTTAATTATGGGTCGATTGGAACTAAACTCGGTACATAGATAGAGGTACCCGAATGGAGTCCTCAGAAGGGCAGACGGAGAGGACGAAAATAAGAAAAAGTTTCACTTTATGATCTCATCTCTCAGTCTAATTTGTAATAAAGCAATAATTTAAAAACATCATCGTTTTTTATTAGAAATTTCACGAGATACTCGAGAAAATCTAGAAATTACCTCAAGAAATTACGATGGCCGAGAGAGCATCAGGAATCCTACTCTTCAATGGGAGCCCCCCTAAATTACAATATAAATATATATTTTTCAAATTCTTCCAATTAGAAGCAAATTTCGACCTGCGGAGCATCAACATCCACACTTACTGTTTAGTATAGTACTTTGTTTCAGTGTGCTTTAAAAACGCACACGTAAATCAGGTTTTCACACAGTTAAATAAGGCCATGAGTAATCAAATCCACTCCAAACCCCAATAGCCTATATGTGCTAAGCGATATTCCAACACCTCGTCTTCCGCCGAACCAATACGCTGATAAAGAAATATAAAAAGAGACTTCAGAAAATGAGAACTTCCGATAAATAACTAAATTGAAGAGCAAAATAAAACACTAATTCACCGCAATACACCAAAACACTTTACTTTTGCACTGGATGCGCGTTTCACTGACCATGATTTGACTGACCACTGAACTAGATTTTAGTGTTTTATTTTGCTGTTTACCACCAAAGATTCCAACCCTTAACTGTAATAAATTGAAGACACAAACAAAACTTGAGGTTTCAGAAAACCACCTTTTTATAGATGGGAAACGCTTTTAGGGCCAGAGTGTGGGGATCTCCCTCATACGAGAGGGTCTACCCACTAAAAACCCATCTGTGCTCTAAGCTCCCCAATCTCGGTGCCGCCGAAGGCATTTCATCAAGATTAGAGACTTATCCTTCTTCTATGTTGGTCTTGTCTGTACCCAGATCTTGTCTTTTTCGTCCTTCGCCTTTTTCTTCATAATGTTCCTTAACATGCCGCGAATCGCTTCGATATTTTCATTCGATGATATTAGAAGGTTTCCGACGTTTACTCTAGTAATCTTCGTACCACATACTGTTTCTGCGTTTTCCCGTATATCTTCGTGCGCGGGACACTCAAATAGTGTATGGTTAGCCGAGTCTGACGCCTCGCAATACCAGCATGTAGGAGAGTCAGCCTTGCGGATCCTGTGCAGATACTCGCCAAATACAATTGCTTACGTGATGTAGTAGTCCGTGTTTGCTTGGTCGCATTTTATCCAGTCTTTAATATTGGTATGAAAGTCTTTGTCCATCCGTTATAAAGCCAGGAATAGTCGGAAGCTCAACCGATCAACATTATGCCCTGAATAACTAAAGGACCCCCTGATTTCAACTTACCACGCAAAACCTTGTGCAAACAAATGGAGAAAGCTACCATCTCTCTCGTGCGATCACGGAGAGGTCCAAATGATCATACACCTAATAGAAGAACGTCTCCATCAATCATACTAAGGTCCTCCCTCCCTGATATCCTGACTACAACGTTGACGACAACAAAATACCTAGATGTGTGTGAATTCTTTATGTTTTTTATACGTATATTATTTTTTATCTTACACGCTATACAGGGTAATTCAAAAAACATGTGCCATCTCCCATGGGGAGATTCCTCCCGTAAAAATAAGATTTATTTTTCATATTAACATAGGTCTGATTCTGCTTTGTTTCGTAGCTAGAGGAAGTGAGTCTTCATTTTTTTTTTGACTTATTATAATTTTCTTCCAAGTGTTTTTAGCGATTCGAATGAAATTTTGAGGGTAAAAGTTACTACTATATATTCTAATGCTAAAAAAGTGTCCAAATAATCACGAGGGACGTGCATTGGAGTTATCACTCGAATATTTTAAGTTGTCTCTTGGTATTTTGTCGATTTCGGTCTCTTTGATGAGATAGACAATTTTATTAATTTGCCCCAATCCAAGTCTTGCCAAGCTGCAACCTTTAAGACATTTTAATTTCATTAACTTGCCAAAATATTAAATATGTACTCATTGATTCCTCATCAAAAATTATAAAAAATGTTCCTCTAAACATGAGTGCGGAAATGCATAGTTTTAAAGTTACAGGATGTTAAAACTTTAAAAAATAGGCCTTTTGTAATTATCTTAAATACCATTATTTTTTAGGGAATTTGCCGCAGATAGCACTGTACAGGGTGGGTTAAATTGGACGCTTTTAAAGGGAAACACCCTTTTCTATAGGAGATGACGAAAATTAATATCGGTGTCTGGAGCTCAATTTTTATCAAAAACATGATGGTAAACCGCATATTGATATCTGTTACCCTTTCCTAGCTACAATTTTACTACGAATTTCAGGTATCAAAAAGCCTTCCCAAAGATGAAATTTAAAGGGGCCGCGAAACGACCGCTCATTGGCTGTGACGTCACTTCGCATATAAACACGGCGCCATCCTGGTTGTTAACATCGACTTGTTGTTCAGCGTGGTTTTAGCTTTGTGTAGAAGTGAAATTGCGACGAAATCTAATAATTTGTTTTATTCTGCCTAGTAAAATAGTGTTATAAATTAGTTATGGCCGCCGAAGGATTTGTAAAAGCTTCCACAAACAATTTACCTTCTGTAGATATGTTCATGGTAATGGAATACATAAAAAAGGACGAATGTTTTAATTCAGCTGAAATTAAAGGTGCAAAAGCAGCAATGTAAGTACTCATTTATGTAAAATAGTAATTGCCTTTTTGTTCCTAGGTATATTATAATACCTAAAAGATTCAAAAACTGTTTGAGGTTATCTTGTTTTACTAGTCCTGCAGGTAATAGGCAGGGCTTGTAATAATTTCATTTTATTTCCATACTAATGTAATTATTTATTATTTTTAGGGCGTCTCGTAAAGAATATGGAGACAGTGCTGTTGGATATGTTGAGCTTAAACGAGAAGGTCCATTCTGTACTGTGCAATGCAAGATTTGCCCGGAGTATAGAATCCGTTCTAAAAATTATGTTGTTTGTTTGAAAGTTGATGAAGCCAACGAAATTATTCTAAGCGTCGAGTGCAAAGACTGTGCAGCAGCTGCAGGTAACTAATATAATATACAGACCACCATTGACATTTTTTAATTTTTTTGTTTTATTTCTCGTAGGTGGTTGTAAGCATGCTCTTGCATTTCTAATGTGGATGCATCGCCGGACAGAAGAACCTTCACCAACAGAAGTTACTTCTTATTGGAAAAAACCACGGCTATCTGGTGTAGGAACGTCACTGAAATTCACAACAGCCAGGGACTTTTCCAAAAAAACTGTCAACCCTCCAGTTTGTGATGTTCTTTCATTTCGCTAACTAGTCTTGGAGAAAGTTCCAAGTTGACAGGTCATCTGTTAAAATATACTTCTGAGACATATGAAGAGTTTATTTGAAAAACTGTCATTATATAAGGTAATGTTGCAATTCAAAAGCAAGGGCGGTATAGAGTGTGTCGATTTCATAAAATTTGCTGTGTCACAAATGAACAACTCTCTTTGTTCTGAAGCAGAAAAGAAGACGAGAGCTCAATCGGAAAACCCCTTATGGCATGAGCTTCGATTTGGACGAATCACAGCTTCCAAAATATTTGAAGTTGCACATTGCAAAACTCCAGAGGGCACTTTAGTAGAATCAATAATAGGTTCTTACAAAGTGAGGGACAACAAATTCATGAAGAGGGGAAGACTATTAGAAAAAAAAGTATTAAAGTGTGCCGAACAAAAAGTAAAGTGTAAATTTCAAGAGTGCGGTTTTTTTACAATGCCTTTGTTGCCTGTCCTCGGAGCCTCACCGGATGGTATCTCAAAAGATTACGTTGTGGAAATTAAGTGTCCTAGCAGTGTAAAAAATAAAAACACTTATATAAAAGACAATAATATTACAGCTAAATTTAAGGGACAACTCCATTTGCAAATGTTGTGTGCTAATAAAAAAAAAGGGTTGTTTTGTGTTGCATCTCCAGATTTTGAAGAATCAAATAATGTAGAAATTTTGGAAATTGATTTTGACGAGCAGTTTGCTAATGAGCTTACAGCAGCAGCTATAGAAAACTGGAAAAAATTTGTATTTCCTAAGGTTTTTGTAAGTTGTCAATAAATATTTGAAAAGTTAAATGTGTTTTAATTTACTAAAAAAATGTGTTGTTTGTAATCTAATTAGTTTATAATCTAATTTGCAAAAACTAATTTACTGTGTTGGGATATAATGTTTAAAATAAACTTAAATATTTTTTTTATTTAAAAAAAAATATATATAAATATTTACATTTTCTATTTACACTTTAATGGTTATATTAAATTACAAAACTAAAAACTAATAGGTTAATACATATTTTCACATTTGTTTTATAATTGGGTTCTGTAAATTAATTAAAGCACATGCGATTTTAATTACTGCATCAGTCTGAGCTATTAAATTATGATTAATTACAGAATGGGGCTTTAAATACTGAAATTCTCTTATGCGTCTAATAACCCGCTCAATATGTATTCGTAGACTAGCTATCCTTTTGCTTCCATTACTTCAGCTCGAGTGGGTTTTGTTGATGAGGAAACACTTGGAGGTCTAACCAAATTGACCTTCCGCTCATGCAGGAATTTGGCAATATCCTTAAAACCTCTGTCTGCCATTACACTTGATTCAACAGGTACTTGGTCCAGATACCCACATGTCTGAACCAACAATGAATCACTGATCCTTCCACCATATCCAATGGAAATAAAATTTATGAAACCGTCTGGTGTTGATGACACTAAATATTTCAAAGTTTTGCATTTTTTATATTCTGACCAGGTAAGAGCTTGCTGTACTGGGTTTGTGGGTTTTTCGATCTCTATTTCCAGACAGTCAATGATAGACTGAACATTATGATATCGAGCTCGGAATGGAATTGGCAAAAAGTATTTAATTTTCTCACTAGGTGGCCAAAATATTAGTGTACTCAAGTAAAGTTTTAATTGGACCAAAGACTTTGCAAATATTTTTGATGCATTTCCTGTGGACGTTCCAAACATGTGACCTAAACGTTGAAATGGGTCATTTAATTTTATTTTCATTAGTGTCAAATAAATATTGTCCTTCGTTAAATTTGTTTTGGCACTTAACAAATTCACTATATCAGGCAACAACATATTTGGTGCCCCCAGGTAAAATTTGGCGTTTTTTTCTACTACACAACGTGTCACATTTAGGGCTTGATATTCCTGTTCTTGTTTGTCATCTATCTTTATGTCACTACTTCCTGCACTTACAGTTGATGCAAATGAGCTTGACTGAGATGCAGCATAACTTTTTTCGATACTGCTACTGCTACTTGCTTCAAATAATAATTTCTTTGCTTTCTTCACTGTCAAAGGTGATGTAGCAGTATTTTTGAGCAAAACATGCATTGGAGAAACTGCTGAATTCCGGACTGGAATTTTTAAATTGCACTCTACATACTTGCTAGGATATGAAGGCCGAACTTGAATGCCTATCGTTTTCTGCTTATTTAATATCTCTTCAGGTTCTTGTTGCACTTCCATGCCTATCTCAGCCGTACCTAAAAACATTAAAGTTTAACATAGAAGAAACCTACAGCACAAGTGTCAATACTTACTAGTTGAGGGAGTATCTAAAGCTAAAGACTGACCAGCAAAACGCTTTTCATCAGCTGCTTGAGCATCTGCTACCAAACGTTTTCGTTCTCTTTTCATTGGCAAAGAACGTTCAAGAACACGAGTCGCAGTTCTCTTTCGGTCTGGTTGGCATTCAAAAATATGTGGAACAGCATCTCGTTTCATTATTATTTTTCCACCCATAAGTTTAAAACGCACATAATTTTCCATGTACAGCAATTGAATTTGCTAGGTGCTATGAAAAAAAAAGTAAAAGTATCTATCACAGCATTTTTGATACATCGGTGTCCGAAAATTACCAGAAATAAGTTGTTATAAAAATTTTCACATTCAAAGAAACATTCGAAGTTTTTCCTATATTTAGGTTTATTATATTATTTTTTTAGTATAAACTTGACTTATTATTATGCAGGTGTAAGAATAGTTAAAGAATTTTTGTTTTAAATTGATTTGTTATTAAAGTTGTTATTAATATCTTAGGATTATGTAAAGTTATTAAAAAGAAAGCCAAAAATGTAATAATATACAAGGCAAAAATGTAATAATATACAGGACTATTTTTTTTTACAAAATGTCTTCTTCCAACTAAATAAAAAAAAATTATCAGTTGGAGATGGAAGATAACATAACATCATTTTTAACTTACTTTAAAGTGGTCTTCACAACAGAAAAATTCACTTTTTGATTTGGGCATATCACGTCTAGCTGCTGAGAACCATAGTTTCTTACGCCCATAATCCTGAGGCACATGCACAAAGAGTTTGTTTGGTGTACTTACAGATGTGGTTGTACAACGGGGCACAAAACACCACTTATTCTGAGACCCGTACATAGGAATTTACCTATGTAATCACTCAAACACTTGAAAATGGTCTTACTAAACTGTGGTTATGCATGTTTTTGTTTGTAGCCACGAAAATAAAGTCTTAATTTACTCTTAAAACGTCTAAAACACACAGAACTCAATTTAAAAACATGAACAAAGTTGACATCGCTTCACTGTTTATATGCGGCATGACGTCACACGGCCTCAACCTTGGGATACCCTATTTTAGCGCCAATTTCGGGCGTTTGAATTTTAAATGTTTTTTTTTCTTGAAATACTTTTTGAAATATTTTTTTTATGTTGCCACCAGATTTATAGCTATATAAGCTCTCATTTTCACAGTTTACAAAAAAACATGAAAATACCCAATTATCGAAAATTAATATTTAATGAACATTTTAAACAAAACCTAAAATTGATTTTATTTCATCACAATTCGTTTATTTAGACAATAGAAAATCGATAAAAGAATAATTTTTTATTGATATATTAGAGTATGCGGTTGACGTGGACGTTTGTTAAATTTTTGAAACCTAGGCTCAAATTGTATCTACGATTATACTTTGATTATCTAATTTCTAAATACTCATTTCAGAAAAACAGTTTTGGTACTACAAACACTATGAATTTTACATGTTATAAAAACTGCAGTATTTCACTGAAATGCTCCATTTTATAATACGTACTTAATCAAAGTATAACAACGCTAGACAAAAAAATTCACAGATTTTGCAACATGCGCAACCATCATAGGCGTATTGAAAATACCAGACACAAAAGTCCGCGGTGGTCAGCAATCACCCGTTTTTTACATTTTATATTAACTTGTGGCGTCATTTGGAAGAGCTCAATAGAAATATAAAAGAACTAAACCTTGTTCGTTGGAAAGCAATTTGACATTCGTGACGTCAGCACTCCGGCAGTCTAACGTAAACGTATCATTTATCGCTATTCACAAATATATTCCAGATACGTATAGTGAACAAGTTTAACGTTCGCAACGTTAAATAATTTTGATATTTGATTTTTATCGTGATGGTTTTTTGTAAAAGTGAAGAATTTAGTGAGGAAAACATTAATGATGGATATGAACGTGTGCGGATTCGTGATTGGTCACGATCACGATCACGACACTATGACGGGCTCCTATACCCACGTAGGAGCCCAAAATATGCAAAAAGGGGGTCAGTTTAGCTTAAGTTTAGATTATGTATATATTTTTTATTAGACTCACTTCTTCTTTTGCATATTTAGGTTTAACCAATATTCGAACTTAGGTGTAAATTTAAATTTATGAATGTCCCATAAATTTATATTCGCCGTACAAAAAAATACTTTTCACCAATTTTCACAATAAAAATTAAAAGCTATAAATCATGAAGAAATGAAGGAATAAGGGTGAACGGGGTGCCGCACCGGTAGACCAAGAAGATACTTGGAATGTAAATGTTAATTTATACTCGAATGGAGTTGCCTCACAGTATAGGCATATTTTGAATCCCTACCGTGCATGGTTACTGTAGATAAAAATAAATTAAAATATAGTTGGCTCCAACGATAATTTAGTTTGCAGCTTCTTTTCATCATACCTAATAAAAAACCGTCACAACCACTACGCATAGTATGTACTTATGTATTTTTAAACATCATTATGAAATTAAAAATACATAGGTGCCCATATTATCATAACGGATTTTGTTGTGCTGAAAATAAGCAGCAAAATATATTATCGATTGCATTAATAAGACCTCATTTCGGCCCTCAAACGTCCTTCGATGATCAACGCCGGCTAAACTATCGACCTACGTGTTGACAAGTTGATTAGGCAGGTTATTGAACTCGTGTGGCATCGAGCATGTCGTTTTTTCAAAGATGGGTCCCATATAAACGCGACCAGAAGTATTTTCAATACTAAAATGTAGAATAGACGATTCTTTTTATGTATAGTTCATAGATATAATTATAGTGATACATCAAACAATAACACAAACAAGCGCAAATTACTTAAGTGGCATAGTTTTTTTATCTTTGGATAAACATTTTAATTTGAGATAACTACTGACCATATAACAATTATTGAATACATTTGTCGAGCTTTGATATTATTTTTTCATAATATTTTTGTTAATAGTAGTATTACCGGAAATAAAAATTAGCCATTAAATAAATTGTAAATACTATCCAATTATAAAATAAATATCATCGTGAAACGTTGAAAAATTTTGTATTATTACTATTTTAATTTTACTACTATTTATTATTTATTATTTTTTTATTCAATTTTTACGGCACAAAAGCATACCGGGTTGCATTCGGAATTCGCCGACAAATTAACCGCTCGGATTAGGTCGGGTACAGCGACGATACGTGTATTCCATTTAAAATAAGCAATATGATTTTCAAAAATTTCATAAGGCAGTTTTCAATTTGTTATTTTTAGTATAAAATTCTAACTAAAATTTTGTTAACTTAAACAAAATTCTCTCTGTTAGATTAATTATTAATGGAAAAAATAATGGATTACTCTGGTGGATTATCCTATATATAGAAATTACTAAGCAAACCAAAGTAACACAAATAAATTGTTATTAGATTAAACTGTTTTTAATCGATTTATTAGGGGTTTTGAAGCAGCTAAATAGTTATTTAGCATA